AAAAAAAAAAAAGGAAGGAAGCGGAAGGAAACAGAGTGCTGTGGCACATCGGTAGAGACCTCCCACAGCCTCGAAATGGGCAAGGTCACTCCATTTCCCACCCACCTACACTACCACCCGCCGCTGGGTGGGCTTTAGCAGATGCCTCCCGGTAGGGAAGGCAGAGAGCGCCTCCAGCAGCCAGCAAGGGCAACGAGGAGATCTCAGGCAGCCTGACTGGCTGACCGTGAACCTGCCCTTGCTGTTGATGATCACCATTTCTTCTTCCACACGTGCAGTGATTCATCTGGGTTTTGCTCATCGCACAAGTCGTCTGCAGTCTGCATTTTCCCTTTATGAAAATCAAGGCAAGGGTCTCCCGTCTGGGCCTCCTAACCCCTCCCCCTTTACTGTAGCTCTTCTGTTTGGACTCAAAGAGGTTCCAGGGCTGCAGCCACAAGATCTTTCCGTTCACTCAGTCCTTTGACCGAGGGCCGTGTGCCAGTCATGGCCCCTGCTCACGGGGTCCCGGTACCTGGGCCCGGACACAGGCTCATTACAAGGCAACCTAGAGCTGTCTCACTCCGGGTCACTAGCCTTGGGCTCCAGTCCTGCCCCTCCCCTCCCACCCTTTCCCATTCAAAGTTCTTTCTCCCAAAGCCAGGTGGGAGGGGAGCCCCCTGTGTCCCCTCACATCTCACCGTGTCCCCAAGCTGGCTGCTGATTCCCTCCGGGCTGTCCTCTTTGTTCTCAACCCATCTCTCTAGTTAAAAGCTTTTTCTCTTCCTTCCCTTTAGCGTTTGTCAAGAGCCCTGGTCCATTCTGAGCTTTGGTCTTTGGAATATCTGCCTTCCAGCTTGTACAGCCACCTGACTCCTCTATTCACTCCGGTGACATGTCCTCACCCAGGCGAGGGCCCCTTCCTCCCACAGCCAGCGCAAGGCCTGTAAATGGCCTGTGTGGACACCCCCGCTCCTTCTTCATGGAGACCAAGATCGCTTGTAGCTGCTCTTGGAGCACTTGCTTATAAAGCCCTATCAGCCATCCTTCCCTTCCAGGAGACTGGCCGTGGCGACATCTAAAGTCCCCGCTCCTGAAGCTGAGGGAGCATGCCCCCTGTGCCCAATGCTCCTGTCCCCGTGCAGCTCACTTCTCAGGTAACACAGCAGTTGTCTCTCAAGTTTTCTATCACTTCATTTCACCAACCAGTCTTCCCCTGTCACTTCCAATTGTGTCTGGAGAAACAGAGCTCTGTCGCCTTTGCGGCAAGGCAGAAACCTTCGGCTTTCAGCTGGGAGGAGACCAGAGCCATTAGCTGGGCCCAGAGGGCTGAGCCCTGCAGCCCTCCTCCTCCCGTGGGTCAGAGTCTAGCACCCGCTCCACGCCCTGAGAGTGCTGGCCTGCAGCTCCGCGCTAGGTCACGGATCTCCGCACAGGCACAGACCATCTCGTGTCGGCAGACCCTGCTGGCTGGTGCCTCCTCCAGGGTCACTTCCTCCCAGGCCCACATGCCCTCCCTCCTCGCTGATGAAATCCTGCCTGAATCAGGCCTCCATCTATCAGGAAACGTGGGCCTTTCCCTCAGCCCAGGTGGGGTGGGTCCTGAGCAATCTACACATTTGGAACAATTCTGTTCTCCTGGCCAGTGACCAATTCGGAAACGGGCAATGAGAAGACAGGGGAGGTCAGCTGGGGGCTCCTGGGGAAGGTTCTTCTCCTCCTAAACAGATCTGTGTGCCTAGAACCCCTGAGAGCGAAGGCAGCCAATGCAGGGGGCGGGGAGGCAGGACCACCTGGGGGGTTATAGCAGGTGTTCAACTGATCTCTCAGGCCCTAGCAGAAGAGGGGGTGTCCACGATTTCCCATCTGCACCAGGCCTTGGATCCGCACGCCCCTGGAAATCTGGCTACCATCCCACCCCTGCATCTTGAGCACAACATCCAAGAGCTTTTTCCTCAACTGTTTCCTCTGCTTTCTCGATAGGATTAAGGCATTGTTGCAACCCCATCTTGGAACTCTCTTCCCCCTAGTTTTGGTGTCTCTAGTCCTGGCGCTTTTATTCTCCTTCCCCTTGTCGTTGTCAAAGGCAGCTTCGAGCCCCAAATGTTAGAACCACATGATAGGAGAAAGGCCGCTGCCTGGCCCTTGGCACTGACAAACGTCCAGGGCAGTGGAGGATTATGGGGACTCTCCTGAGCAGAGCACCGTGGGGGCTCTCACAGTTCTTTCCCACACCAGGTATTATGTGACCTCAGAACCCTGCTGCTGGGTTTCTGTCCCCATTGTACAGATGAGGGAGGAGCCTGCAGAAGGCCGAGGACTTTGACCAAGTTCACAGCCTGGGCCCATACGGAGCGGTGTCTGGGCCCAGAGGACACTGACCCAGTGTGGCTGGAGCAAACCGAGGGTATGGGGTGGAGGGTGTCAGGAGAACCAGGAGGAAGGAACCCAGGCTGGTCACAAAGCACGCTGGGTGATGTTCTCACCCGGCAGGGAGCAGTGGGCATGGGCTTGGAGTTGGGGGAATGACATAATCAATAATTTGCATTTTGTAAATATCCCTCCCCAGCTCACAGGTCTGGGAAAATAGGCTAGAGGTGACAGAAGTCACAGGGAGACCTTAGAAGGGCATGCATTTAGGTAATGAGGCATAAGATGATTTTTTTCCCTGCTTCTTTAAGAAATTCCCACAAGGAACATATATCGCTTTATTAGGGAGAAGGTGCTTTTTTAAAGAAAGGCTCCTAGACAGTGCAAGTGAGAGGGATGGCTAGGCCTGTGGTCCTGGTGGGGAGAGAACCATGGACAGTAGGTGGTGAGGGAGGAAGGAGGAGCCACCGAGACTCCCCAGCGTGGTGGATGCCCCGGGGAGGGAGGGTGACATTTTCTAATGGGCAGGCTTGGGCTCAGAACAGAGACTCCGGCCAGGGACAGAGGGTGCCAGGGGGAGGTGTGTGTGGTATGAAGAGCTAAGAGGCCCAGGGGGAAGTGGGGCCCAGCGAAGTGAAGGGGCAGAGGAGAAACGCCCAGAAAGGAGTCAGGAGGGTCAGGGTGAGGGCTGACAAGGGAGGAGAGGATAGCAAGGAACGGAGGGTCTACACACAGCTCCCCCCTGTGTGTGTGTGTGTGTGTGTGTGTGTGTGTGTGTG